CACGTTCAACCATAATTCGGTGCAGCGAAAACCCTTTCTTTAATCAAATACAGGGATTCGCAAGCTTTTTTGACGGAGCCACTCATTTCAACGTCACTACTGCTATGAGTAGGACAGGTCACTGAAATATGATTCATAATAAACAAGTGCTTGCGGTCAAATAGATGTTAGGTTTATTCTTTATTATCGTTTAGACCACTGATTGTATTTGAGCGCTAACCAAGGACAGTAACTAAGTATGACTAAGGACAAAGAAGAGGACTGAGAACCCATAACAGTCATCTTAACGAGGCGAAATTAGCATGTCCATGAAGAACCTGTTAGTCCACACTGGTCTCATTAAATGATTACTCCCTGTAGCATTACTATCATTTGTTGTCATCAAACATGATTTACATTGCGACCCGTTCTATTGGAATTCCGTCGATGCCCGTCACCTGTCTTCAAAGCCGTATCATGATCGTTCGCACGACCACCACCAACTCCAAATACATACAACTTGTCACCGTCCAAGGTGAACCTCTCAACTAGCAAGCCTGTTAAACGATTGGAAGAGTAGACAACAGATATGACGAGAGCTGTATCACCCGACAACATGTAAGCCATACGAAACAGAACCCGAATGAACGCTTTAAAATGGAAAAATATACTCTTGTTCGAGTTCATAAACCGTAGGAAAGTTGACATGATTGAGGACGAAACTGTGTTCGTCCAGGGTCGAAAACAGTGATTCTTTTCTCGCTTCCCACAGTGCATCTCAGCTCCTGCATGAAATTTTGGTGTTCCACGTATCAGTACTACGACGGGGACTCTAATATCGCTCATAAAGTTTCAGGAATCCAGCCTAGGGTAACGCGGACACCAACAACTTTGAAGATGTCAGTTAACGGAAGAAATGTATTCTAGATGGTCCCAGGAATCGCGGAGGAGTACTGCGCCTTCAAGAAGATCGCATGTCTCTCGGAATCTATCAAAATCACGCTCTTCTAGGAATCGATGTGTTTGAGACATACACATTGAGTCGCACGTTGGTACCATATCCCGGAACAGTCAAAATAAAGATCAGCTACATGAAGCAAAATAAACCCAGGGCAGCCACATATCGTTGCCCGTAGGATACGAAAATGTGCTAATCTTAAGAATCTGCAACATGAACATTTGATTCCTTGTAGCGATGTGAATTTATTTTGTTCATAGTCACACCACTCTCGTCTGAACGGTCGTGTTCCTGTTCTGGTGTAATTGTTCCGGTGAGTCCTCACCAAAGGGAAGCACTGGACTAGAGTTTCGCTCTTATTGGAGCTCATCAGCAGTGAATATCCAATAGCCGTGCCGGGATTTGAACCCCGCACATCTGACATGCGAGGCGAGCGTGTAACCACTACTCCACCATGAATGAATTAATATGAATTTATTAAAAAAATTTCCTGTAAAATTTAGCATTCATTGTAGAAAGGATAAGTGTGCAACCGCTAGCCGGAACGTCTGGGGTTCAGGACTCTCCGAGATAGGCACTGCTGATGATTGCCAATAAAGATGAAACAGTTGTACATCGCTTCTAGACCTTTCAGCATAGACTGGGTTCACTTATAGGATGAAATCTCAATTGGTAAAATGTCGAGTGATACAAACCATAGAAACTAAAGGCCTGGGGCCACTGAAAAAAAAGACAGGAGCTATTCCGCTGTGGACAGTTATTAAACCCGAACTATAGATAAATAGTGCGAAATCTCGTATTGTTGTTCCTATAGAAATGAGGCGACGACAAGTGCCAGCTGAATGCCTTATCCGAGGCAGATAAAATAGTAAGATTTGCGGCTCCAAAAGGCTGATAGAATAAATCAGGAGCATAGCACGAGTATGAAGCTACACTCAACTGACTGCATTGCAAATTTGTTGAATGAAGTTGACGACAAGTTAAATAAACCAAAGACAAACACAGAACACTTCTGCTTAGTTGGTTGCGAATTTTACCAGAGGATTATCTGTGCCCCGAACTTCACCGGAATGGTATAAATCCGCACAACTTTCTTGGTAGTTTGTACTGTTGTTGGGCACTCGGCTCGAAAGAAGGACGCGATAATACCCGTGCACGAGTCAAACCCATATATTACATAAAGAGGCATTTCCCTTTCATCTTCTATCGGTACGTACAGTCCGGCATTAGTCTGAGAGAAATTATCCGAAATTATCCTATGCAGTCCTATGAAGTCTCAAGTCTGTTTGGAAAAAAGTACGTGTTAGACGGATCAGTAGAGCGTGGAACGTGCACCCAAAGTGCGGTGCTTCACTAAGAAAGGTCATGCCTTGATACGGTTTTGTCTATGTAAGGGCACGCCAAAATATTGACCCCTTGGACAAGATGACCCGAGTCATCAGGCAATCCGAAGTTTTGTTCTAAACTGGCCCTTGTAGTGAATCAATGCCACTAATTATGGCAATGGTAGTCAACTCAACGGTTTTTTATTGGATGCCCATTGTTGACACTTTAACTGAGCGGCCAAATCCACAGTTCTGAGATGGAACACCGTATGTCAAAAAGATTCATTCCAACCTGGACTGGATGTTCTTTTTTTAGAAACCTTCTCCGTACGGACAGTCTAACCCTCGCAAATTTGGGTTCAGGCCGTTTGGTGAGCGGGATAGGGCAATCTCGAGGGAGAATATTCGGCGAAAACCTGTCTGTCACCTTTAGCCTCTGGGTGGTTTCGATTATCTAACGCATAACCGATTTGAAAGCCTGACTCAATGGTAATTTGACACACACTAAGGTCATACACTGCTCCCATAAATCCATACCAAGAAGCGCATAGCAAGAGCCGAAATTTCCCATTTTACCATACAAACACAAAATATTCACTGGAGAAACAGGCGTTGATAAAGTACGATGGAACCGGTGGCAGCTTGGGCAAGCCAACTTTACAGTTCTGCTGTACTCAATATAGCGAGACCAATGACGACTAGTCGACACGATCGCGAATTCAGGCATACGCACTAACCTCAATCCCTTGAAATAAACGAAAGTTGGACAACGAAAAATGTACTTTTGTCCGTATTGTGTCTCGATTGCTACCTCTCATCGACCTTCTATGCCATGAACTTCCTCATAAGTTGGATGTAGTGTGTTCTGTGAGTGCATTCACACCATAACTTATCGCAAATACTACGGTAATCGTGCACACGACAAATGCAGCAACTGTAGCCCCACTTACGATGGATGTCTATATCATGTTAACTGCCTTTTTTCGCATCGCCGGTAGTCACGATGGTCTCAATTCATTACATTGACTCACTATACTAAGCGTTAGACTGATGTGCAAATAGACCTTTCGGTTACCGACTACTCTTTCGAATTCGTGGAAAATGACGGGGTCAGTAATGAACGAAGAACAGCAAGAGAACAACGGTGTGATAAAGTACCGTTTGAAAGGGCAAAAAAGATCAAGTGAGACTGCGATATTTTGAAAAGCATGGTATACTGTACCAACCAGTCCCCGATGATCAGAATCAAATTCATCCATGGATGGTACTTACATTAATTTGCACGAAGTGGTGAGACTCGGTTTCAGCGAAATAGCCTTTCAGTACTTTGCAATTTAGGCTTGGGCATTAACTCGAGGTTCGCTTACCCCTACAAAAAAGCATCGACTATTCCAACACGAGCCCAAAATATGAAGCCAGAGACAACAGACACTCAATCATACACCTCTTAATAGTTCTGGTGCTTTTCATCAAACACCCGCACCCGGCAATGCAAATAAAGGGATACCAGCTCACCACCTCGGCTCGGCCATCTTTAGCATTGAAGAAATATTGCAATCTTGAAGCCTTTCTCAAAGTTGAGGCCGGACTAACATAAACCGCAACGGATCATACACCTCTAATAGTTCTGGTGCTTTTCATCAAACACCCGCACCCGGCAATGCAAATAAAGGGATACCAGCTCACCACCTCGGCTCGGCCATCTTTAGCATTGAAGAAATATTGCAATCTTGAAGCCTTTCTCAAAGTTGAGGCCGGACTAACATAAACCGCAACGGATCACAGCAAGACTAAAACGATTGCCTCGGTATTATTTTGAGTTTGTGTAGGCTTGATGCGAAATCAACCCAAGAAACTGACCTCTGGTTCCGGACGGCTGGGGACCCAGCAAAAGGAATAGTTGGTATAGGTGGGGCCGAACTTACACAAAACACATGCAGGGGTCCTGTTGGAGGATCCAGTCGACCGGATATCTGTAACCCAAAAATTGAACTCCCCAGTTTCCGCGATATCAAGGCTGGGTACAATTAGTGTCTGTCCCCTCACCCAAAGATATCCTACTTAACGATTTACTTTAGCTACTTATTACAGACGAGTACCGTGAAACGGACCAACAAACAGATGAGCAGACCGTGAAAACCGATCGCCGCTGACTTGCACCCAGGTGGATCAACCATTGGGACATTCTAATCTAGGACATGATCAGCTACCATAATAGAGAAGAAGCCAATCATGGGAAGAAGTGAGAGGGCATTCGCCATGACAATCGACTTGGCAGCTGACAAATAGTTCACGCGAAACCCAAATGAGGTCTTTGCCTCATCGTAATTCAATATTCAGATGGGATTGAATGTAAGACGGTCAAATACGGGGGACTTTTAACTGAAGACCCTATAGTCAATACTTCCTAGAAGCTAAGGACTCTTCAGGACAGCTAAGGACCAACAAGCATTCTGATTGAGAACAGGGATCCATTTGAAACCCCGACTCCCACACATGAAAGCACAAAAATGTGCCACCTGAATTTCACTGTATCTAGGATGAATGAGTGGCTCATTTTGAGTTCCACATAACCAGTGGGTGTTGAATAACTTTCCCTTAGAGCCAGGGTAAATCAGTGAGAAAATTCCCGAATATCTCAAATGCAAGATTTTCCGGCTCCCACACCGCATAAAAAACAGTTTTTACTATCACTGAAAAACGGTTGTCTTTTTACTGTCACAAAGGTAGTCTAAAATATGTATGTACATATGGAACATCGTTTTCTCATTACGAAAAAACAGTTATTGGCTGTCTATGGCGCACCTGATTTGAAAGCCCAAGAGGTGGAGCAAGAGACAGAGCTGTCCTACGTAGGCAAAATCCACCAACCGGTGTTGGAGGCACAAATTTGTGTTAGCTCTGCGCGGCTGTGGCGAGCTGGGAAGCAGCCGCCTCAGGAACAGTCATCGTGGACAACTTCTTCGTGGCATGCATGTAGGCTTGCATGAATTTCGCCGCACATCGGTCCAAGCAAACAGCTTCACCCTTGGTCAAATCCCCATCTGAATATTTGGCCGGAATGCATTTTTTCAGACAACTATTGGTCATGTTTGAGAAAACATGCTGCATCATCTCAATCTCAAACATCTGCATTTGACGCTCGGCATTTTTCACATCCTTTTTGGACGACGAAAACATTCTGCTTCAGCGACAAGGTTGGCAAAAAGTAGCTGAAGGGTAGAAAACCAAAGATAGATGAAGCCTCGAACACAGAAAGAGACGCACACTACAAGTGAGAAAGATGGCAATCGACTACGAATGATACACGGTGATGGATATATCTAAATGTGGAATAGCAAACTTCCAGGTTTCAGCTGTTCGTTGGAAACGGTATTTCCGAGGCATTGGAAACACATTGGTCCTAACAGTTTATCCTCCCTGAAGAAACCAATGTACCCGAGTACCGCTAACAATCAGAGGATTAACGGGCTGTCCAACAGTCACATCGTACTACTGTCAAGCAGAGGCATCCTGAGAAATCGGCAAATGCACAGTGAAAATCGATTGATGTTTGGTTATAACAACCATGAATACTAGAAAACCAAACCCACCAGTTAGTTTTACTGCGGATTTCCGGAACTGGGTAATTGGCTGAACTACTGATAAAACCGTATTGCAGTAATCCTTGCGGTATGTCTTTAAATTTGCTCGGTGTAATGGCTCTAGTTAACCCTGACAACACTGGAAAGTATTGGTGAACTAGAAAGCTCGATTAGGGTCAAACATTATTTTAGTTTCAGTAGGCCAGGTTCATAGATGATAACACGAGCAACTGTGAAATGAGTTATCGAAGTTGTCAGGAGACACTACTCGACCAATGCAAAGGGGTTAAAGATGACGCAATATCTCGTGAAAGTAAGAAAAACCATCAATCATGACTTCGATAACTCCGACATCAGTAACAGTTGACCGGTCCATGCCCCAGAGCACTCAACGGTTATGAAGTGAACTTACTGACCAAAAGGCTCGTGCTTTTGATCCAATCCCGGCATCTTGGCTGTTTCTGCCAAAGTGTGAACAACTTGGTGGAATCGCAACCCTCGTGCTTCCTTTGGGTGGCATGGCAAACACGCACGGATGGGGTTCTCAATAATAATTAATAGTAAACGTTCAGGTGTGACACTCCTCCAGTGAGTAGCTGAGATACTGTCAGACTGCCGAAGCCTGGACAGGAGCAGTCGAGATGCGGTTTTTGGTTTAAAATTACGGATCTTCGGGTCAGTAAGTTCGCACCTTGACCACTGAGCTATCCTGAACCCACTATGAGACGTATCAGTCACTGTACCACTGATGAAACAAAAGCTAGTGAGTACACTCTAATATAACCTGAATGAAGCTATCACTCCTCACTGAGCTGGCTAAACATTTAGAAATGGTTTCGTTGAAGCGTCCATTTGTCACAAGCTGTAACCATCCACATTCCCATGTAAGTTTCCCGCTAAAATGACAGACCACCCAGTTTTCGTGCAGTGGCATGTTATAGGTTCAAAAGGAATCAATATCGTTGGAAAATGAGTACCACTGATTTTCCCACACACGGTGCTCAAGCAACGGTACTATCCATTATCTAAACAGAGTGGGTCTCGGAGTTATTCTGATAAGGTAAGTTAAGATGCATTGATTGGAGAACGGCTTTGCTGGACCTCGAACATAGGGCAGATATAATCAGGATCTTCCACATATCTTTGACACAAAATCATATGTTCAAGTGTCTCATTAACGCGTTGGGGACCATTGATCAACAACCTGGAATATATCACCTACATCACTCAGCTGAATATCAGCCCAGTGAAAGTTCTCCATATATATATAACTTTCCCTGCCTGTATTCTTCTCTTCTCAGGAACTGAAAAAACATTACGGGACTCATTTCGCCAATAGCTAGGAATCCCGAAACATACCGCGAACACCAAGAATAGTTTGGCTTATCGCTTATTTCATCCTTACGACCAGAGAGCATTCCCTCACACTATCAGCTTGAAAGCTGAAGTAGCTTAGCACTGATAGCACTGCTCCCAGTCGTGCAGGCAGACGTTCTACCTCGATCATCATCAATCATCAAAGACAGCAACACTTGAAAGCTTAGCTTAGCACTGATAGCACTGCTCCCAGTCGTGCAGACAGACGTTCTACCTCGATCATCATCAATCATCAAAGACAGCAAGCAACGTGTTG